TGCCAGCAGGATAACGGCGTGGCCCCTTTCCTCTCCCTTCCCTCCCCCCAGCCCCCCCCCTGTTGCCCATCCAGCCCCTCCGTTATCTGATAGGCAAGAGAGTTCACAAAGTGAACCGTGAGCTAGGCTGGCAGGAGAAGGTGCAGGAAAGGGGGAGAAGATCGGAACGGTTCAGAAAAAAGCCTAAGCCGCGGTCCGTAACAATCTGTACTTTTGTGTCTCCTATCGTAGCTTTGTGTGTTTTCCCTGCCCTGTGACTCTGAGGTGTGAAGACGGCTGCGAAAGCTGAGAATGAGCTGAGGTGAGCAAGAGAGGTTAAAAGCAACCAAACGGCTTTCTTGCAGAGCAAAAGGCAGAGGAAAGAAACAGTGGCCCAGCTACTCAGTGGGGAGGCCAAAGAGGTCATGGTCCATCACCCTCCAGGCAAAGGTGAAATGCAAGCAGAAGTGACAGGGTTGCAGGACAGAGATCAACAAACAGATCCGCAGAGAATATCTTATTACTTTGGACGAGTTCAGATCCGTGGGTATGGGATAAACTGCATCCAGCGCTAGAGATTTGATATCTTGGGCTCAGCGGCCTGGTAAGAGACTCGGACTCTGTGAATTTATGGTTCCTTCATCTTAATAGTTGTTTGTTGCTCTCTCTTCATCCAAGGGGTAAATCCGCATTTTAAGTGCTTCTCTGAAGGTGTTCCCCGAGTACGAATCGAAAACCCCCAGTTCTCCTGGTTCATTCACAGGCCCTTCTGAATCTCGTATCTGTGCAGAAAAGAGGAACTGGAAGGCTTACTTATCCACATACGAGCCACTTTTGCCCCAAATAAAGGGGAGACTCCCCCCCCCCAGGGAGCAGCATAAGCGCAGCCCCGAGCATGGGGTTGACCGAGTCAAGAGCGGGGAGACGCCCCTCGCTCCTTCTCCAGGGACCAGAGCGGAAAGAATCCATGGAGGTTGAATGGTGGGAGGTTCAAGACAGGTAAAAACCATTATCATCATCATCATCTTGGGACTGCAGAGCTGGAAGGGACCCTCTGGAACACTGGATCCAGCCTTTGGTCAAAGAGGACCCCCGGGGAATCAAACTCCCAACCTCTGGCTCCGTAGCCAAACGTCTCCACCCCTGAGCTCTCCTCATGGTTTCCTCTGGCCGTGTAGACTTAACCCGTGGAACTCCCTGCCACAAGAGGGCTCCAGAAAGGGGACGGGATACATTCCCAGGAGGGCGCAGGGAGCTCTTTCTGGCACACACAGTAGGGCAGCTGTGGATCACCTTGAGGGTCAGTGGGCCCCGGAGGGGTCTCTCTCTCTCTCTCTCTGTCTCTCTCTCTCTCTCTCTCGACCCGTCACTGGGGGGGGGAGGTAAGAAGGGGTGGGTGCTTGCATTCTCTGGTGATCCTTGCAAGGCAAGAACCGTGGACCAGAGCACAAGCCACGATCTGCAGCCTGAGGGGGGCCGGGGGGGGGAGGAACCGGAAGGGAGGCATGTTATGAGAGTGGAGCTCAGAGGATGGAGCCCAAACAGCGCATGCTTTTTAAACATACAACCCGTGAAAATCCCTGTGAGAGTCGGGAGGGGAAGAGGGGATCCCGTGCGCCGTGGCCCTCGAGAAGGAGGCGCCCGGGAGAAGGTGCCAGGCTAAAGGGTGGCGCGGGTGGGAGGGAGGGCGGCTGGCTTTCTGCCTCCAGCCAAGGGCCAAGTGGCATCTTGGTGGGGCAGGCGGGCGCACCATCTGGAGAACTGTTGCTGAAGTGGAGGAAGGGCTTGAGGGGGTTGCTTGCTGGAGGCTGTGGGTCAGGGCTGGTGGGGAGGGGGACGGTGGCCCTTGGAGGCCCAGCCAGCCCCCCTCCCTTTGCGGCCCCTTCACAGGGAACACCCCCCCCCTTTGCCTTCAATTCCCCATGGGCTTTAACACAAAAGCAGCGTTTTTAAGGAGAAGCATTGCCTAGCCTTTGGAGAAACGAGTTTTCTGCTGTCGCCCTTCGGGCTTTAAATGTTGGAGAGAGACCGGTGTGTAGGTGCTTTGTGTTGGCCGGACGGCCGCCCCGGTAGAGATCTGGGCTCAGCTCAGAGTTGTTCTCCCTGGGAGTTGGCTTGGGGGGGCTTTTGTTCTCACAGCAGCGTCAGGCATCCCCGCCTTCCAAATCCACCCACCCACCCACTCTTAGGATGCCAGCCTAGGATCCTACAGGCACCCGTGGGGGCCCGGGCAGTGGGCTTCTGGGGGCTGTAGGCCCAGAAAGGAACTTCCCTCTTTCTAATCTGGCCCTTCTCGGCCTTTTTTGTTTATTTTTCGCCACGGCCCTTTTAGGAGCTCTTCCCAGGCTCCAAACAGGGCCCTGGGCTGTGTGCACCCAAGGATGAATCTGTGGCCCCCTTCAAATGGGCCAGGCGGGGAGGTGGGTCCCAGGGGAAAGAGTCGTCCATGGGGCATCCTTGGTTCAGAGGGAGCGGACGGGAGCTTTGGCTTCTGGGGCGGCTCCCCAACCAGTCTGTGGATAGGGCTTAACTTTGTTTTGTTTTGTTTTGGTCCTACGAAACTTAGAATGGCAGAACGGTCAAGCTGGACGGGATCCGGGGTGTGTGTGTCTCCTGCTTCAGTCCCATCTGCCGGAGCAGGAAACCCCCAGCCGTGCCCCTGTAAAGGAGGGTCCGCCCGATGGCCCTCTGAGGCGGTCCGTTCCGCTCCCGAACTGCTTTGACGGTCAGCCCGTTGGGCAAAATCTCCCTTCTTGTTATTTGAATCCTTTGCTTCCGGGCCTCCCTTCTGGAGCTGGCACCAACCCCTCTCGCTCCGTCTTCCATCCACGGGACAGCTTTTCAGATTCTCTAATTTCTAGCCTTGTCCTGCTAGTAACGAGGTTAGATCCAGCGGTTTTGCATCTGCCGCAAAGTGTGTTGGAGTGGTTTTGTTTTAATCGTCATCGTCCCTGCCCGCTTTGTCTAGGCTGTTTGGACCCAGATGAACTGGTTGGGCTGGGCTGGGCATAATGGAATCCTGTGGTTGGGAGGGGCCACCAACACAGGAAGGATCTCTTGGCTGGGATCCCTCCCTCTTTGCCTTCTCTCCCTCTCCCCCCCCCCCCCCCCCCCCCACTTACACAGACAAACACACACAAACACCCTCTTCAGGAATGCCAGCTCTTTGGCCGGCTGCCCTTTTGCCTGGAGGAATGCAAACGGAGGGTCTGGAGTGCGAGAGAGAGAAAAAAAGAAGAAAAGGCAAAACAATTCTTCCCTGTTGCTAATGTAGCTTATTTCCCTCTTGGCCAAACTTGATGCCATAAGAAGCGGGTGCAGAAAACAGTGGTTTTGTAAAGCAGAGCTCTGTTTTTTCACAGAGTCCTCCAGTTCACAGCCAGATTAGCCCAGCGCCCTCCGGATTACTTACTTTAACAGGATCTCTCAGCAATAAAAGCCACCTGGCTTGGCCTGGCCTGGCCTGCTTTTTGCCGAGCGGAAGCACCGTTCCCTTTTTGGAGGAGGAGGAGGTGGTGGTACCCATGCCTGCTCCCAAGTTTTTGCACCTGACCAGGAATTTTAAGAAATGAACGCCGTTCCTAAGTAGAAACAGCATCCATAGGTAGTGTAGCGACCAGTCTGCTGATCCTAGCATTCAGGGTGGAAGAGTCAAAGCCCAGAAGAGCCTAGGAAAATTCTGGGCCCCTGAACAGAGAGAATGGGGCACTTTGTACAGTGTTTATTTTCCTGGGGAGACGAACAGGAACCACAGAAACCGGCCTGGCCACACCTAACCGTGCTCTGCGCCACAGGCAGCTCCATGGTCATCATCATCCTCAGGCTCACTACCGTGCTCTGCGCCACAGGCGGCTCCATGGTCATCATCATCCTCAGGCTCATCCCGGAAGGAGCGTGAGTGCCCTTTCTCTGCCTCCCCACGCAACTGACCACTCGTCATCGGCAGAGCAGGGAGACTCCCCATCCCGCCTCCGCGCCAGAGTGGTCGGCTGCGGGTGGGTGTGAACTGCTGGCTCTCTCAGTGGTTTAGGCCTCTGGTGGAGGAGGAGCCAGGAGGTTGCGAGTTCGATTCCCCCTAACAACCCCCCTCCCCCCCAGGCGTCCTTGACAAGGGCTGGACTCGAGGCTCTGGAGGGTCCCTTCCAGCTCTGCATTTCTGAGATTAGGTTAGAAACGAATACAACACGGTCATCTCTACACCTAACTATGAGCTGCTGGCGCACAGGCATTGGCAAGGTCCTTGGGAGGGTGAACGGCTGCTCCTGGCGTGCAGCTGGGGATCGTGGCCTTCCTGTGCAGGGTGCTCCTCAGATCTTGGCAGGCCTCCCAGCCACTCGCTTGCAGACAGACCGCTTTAGACGTCTGCGCATATTTGCGGTGACCTGCCTGCTGTCACCTGATAGGGGTGCAAAATGATCACAGGTGAGCCAAGCCGGTTGACGGACGAGGCTGTGCTTTGTCCGGTTTGGTGGGTGTCTGTGGGGAGGCCGGGGCTTGGCAGGGCCCCAGACCAACCTCTGCTAAAGAAAGAGAGAAGAACGGCTCAGCCGGGAGGCCTTCCGCTCCTGCAAGGGCCAGGTAGCTTTGCTGCTCCTGGGGAGACCGCCGGCCCTCCTGGGCTTTTCCTTCTGGAGGGGCAGCTTTGGCTTTCCTGCGCTGGGGGGCTCCTGCCGCTGTGCTTTGCGTCCAGCAGTGGTGAGTTGTTTTGAAGGCGGTGTGTGTGTGTGTGTGCGTGGCCCACCCATCCATCCACTCGTCCATCCTTCAGGGGGTGTGAATATGTGCTCTGAGCATCTTACGGGATTTCCTTCTGCGGCAAGGTTTCCAGAGAAGTTTTAAGAGTTGAAAACGAAAGAAGCACATGGTAAGGGTTTGGTGTTATGATGATGCCGTGAGATCATCGGATGGGAATTTTGTAAGCCACTTTCAAGAACTGGGCAGGGGGGTGGGATGAAACAGGTAGGCGACCGCCCCACTCGCCTGTGACATGACCTTAAGCATGAAGGGGAGCAAGAGACTGTGTGCTTGTTGGTTTGTGTGTGTGTGTTGTCGTTGTTGAACAGGGATGGTCAAGGAGGGATGGTGCTTCATCCCCTCTTCTTCCCTCCCAAGCAAGGGAGAATATGGCTCTGGTGTGTTCCTTCTCTCTTCCTGGGTTTGGTTGCTGGGAAACGGCTGTCTTGGCTAAAAATAATTCCTTTTAAGTCGCCATCAGCCGCCATGCAAGCAGGCCGTCTGATTTCGTTATCTCTGCCCTGCTCCTTTGATGCCCTTGGGGTTCCCATGGGGCGGAGGGCAATGGCTGGCTCACCGGTATGGTCTCTTTCCAGGACGGGTGTGTGCTTGTGTGTGTGTGTGTGTGTTGAGCAGAGCAGGAGCTGGGAGAACAGGAGGGCATCTGAGAGCAGAGGGGCTGGTAGTTGAAGGACGATCACTTGGAAAACGGAGGAGGTTGGTTTTCTGCTCATCCGAATAAGGCAGGACGGCAAAGCCAGAGGATTCATCCTGGTGACAAGGAAGTAGCTTCTCACTAGACCTTAGGGAGACGTTCCTGACAGTGACACGTTTCCTGGAGGAATAACAGGTTCTTCCTTAGGGAGAGAAACGGTTGCCTGCAGCCGTGGGTCAGAGATGCCGGGGCAATGGATCCTTGTGCTGGCAGCGGGTTTGACGGGATGACCTCAAGCCCTCTTGCAACCACACAGTCCTGCGATCCGATGGAATCGAGTCTGCATTCTGGAGCAGAAGTGGCGACAGGTGTGTCCTGGGCGTGGGGTAATCATGTCCTCTCCCATTTGCAGCGGAAACTCCCCGTTGCCTGCTCTGAGCAGCGTCTGTGAAGCTCTGGTGCGGAGGTGCCTCTCCTACGAATCCCCTCCCCGTGGGGCTGAAGAAGCCGACCGATGGCCTCCAAGACCCGACAGCGGCTGGGTTGGCTTTCTCTGCCAGGTGTCGATCTGCGGGCCCTGGTAGAGGAGGTTAAGGGCAGACCGCAGAGGCGCCCGGCAGAGAGCCCTCGGTGGCCCTCTTTCGACTTGCTTCTCGGAGGGTGCGCCGTCTCGGGCTGACCCTGGAGGGTGCGCCTTGTGCTAGACCGAGGGACCGCCGCGGTGCATGGGCGTGCCTGCTTCGTCAGGCCAGGGAAAGGGAATGTGCCTGATCCGTGTGCCGTGACTCACCGAGAACGTGCCCTTCCCAGCCGCGCAGCCGCCCAAGCGAGTGTGATGGCCGAGTGTTTTTCCAGGGCTTTGCACAGGAAAGAGTGGGCAGGAAGAAGAGGCTGGTCTTCACAATGAAGGGAAGTCGGCAAGGCCTGCATTTAACTTGGGGGGGGGGGCTGGTGGAAGCCATAGATTTTAGCCCCATAGATTTTAGCACCATGGCTTCGAACCTCAGCACCGTCGCCGTAGGGTTTGAACGGGGAGCAGCTAACCAGGGAGGGGAGCTTGAGTTGGGGGTGAGTAAGCCCCACACACACACACACCCACGCAGGTCAGGGGGTGCAGACCGAGGTCTGGGAATTATCAGACTGAAAGTAAAACTGCCGGGATCTGGGGATGTCCTGATGGGCCGTCCAGAGGCAGCCTCTCCTGTTCTGGGCGCCCTTCTGGTTGCTTTGTCTCAGAAAGGAGATTCTGGGGGACAAGACAAAGAGAATTTACTAGAATTAAGGAGTGTGAGAAGCCCCTTGGCGTGCGGGCTGGGGCGCTGGAAGGCGGCTTTTGGCCTTACGAAGGGCCTCGCTCACGCGGCCAGAGGAAGCCTCGCTGCTCTTTCCTCCAAGAACGGGCAGGAGGGGGCGCAGCCCAGCTGAGGAGGCTGGCAAGTGGGCTCAAAACAGGCAAAGGGGTCCTTCGAGCCCAATACGTAGTTAGCATGTGGGATCCCAGGGTGGTGATTTTTGTCGTTGCTGTGTACCATCACATCGCCTCTGACTTTGGGGAACTCCAGGAAGGAGCGATCTCCAAAAGGCCCTTGTCTTCCACAGTCCTGCTCAGCTCTTGCAAAGTCGTGGCTTCCTTGAGGGAATCGGCCCATCTCGCATTCAGCCTTCCTCTTCTCCTGCTTCCTTCCACCTTCCCCAGTATGATGGCCTTTTCCAGAGAATTCGGCCTCCTCGTGATGTGCTCAAAGGAGGGCAGCCTCGGTTTCCACCTTTTTGCCTCCCGAGATCATCCAGGCTGGGTTTGCCTTTGTCCGCTCGCATGGGGCTTCCCAGCCTTAGGTAACCCCGGTGTCCTTGGACTGCAACTCCCAGAAGCCTTTTCACCACCCGCTGGGCTGGGTGACTTGACTTGGGAACCATTGCTCGAGCGCCAGGTTTCAAAGGAATCCCATTTTGTTTCCTGCCAGCCAACCGGTCCGTCGCCCAAGGCCGCGGCTGGCATTCCTGTGTTGCAGAAGACGCTGAGCCTCCTGCTTTCGCTTTGCGAGTGGGAGGGGAAGACTCCGCTTGATGCCTGGCTGACGTCGTGGAAAAGGCACGCATTGCTTCACCTGCCCGGGGAATGTGCCTTATCCCGCTTTGGGATCCGGGCCGACCGGTGTGGTGTGTTCTGTCACCGCCACCGCCTCCCCCGTTGTCTTCCCCTGAGCCAGGGAGAGACTTGGGGCTCAGGCCGGCTCTCGGCCTGTGGCCGGCCCCTGAGAAGGGGACTTGGAACGGAGCAGGGGCTGGGCTTCTCCTCGTTGCGCTTTCGGAGCAATCGCTTTGGGAAGGATTCGGCGGCTCTTTCGTCTTACGATCCCGCTCTGCTGTGTTTTGGAGTGTTTCTCCGTACCTGTTCCCAGTCCTTTTGAGGTCTTGCTTCGGGAGGAAGGTGGGCCAGGAGTCGCCTGAGCGCACAAACAAACCACCGGGATGGGGGGGGGGAGGATGTTGTGCCTTTGCACGTGGGTTCTGTAGCAGCTCACAAGAGGAGCTGGGGTCCCAAGGGAGCCTGCAGGGGGACAGGGGCCTTCCCTGGGGTAAAGGGAGGCTCCACCGCCCGGTCCGTGGATGTCCTGCCTGAGGCCCTGTCCCTCTCCGCTAGCAAAAAGGCCAAAGGCCACAATATTCTCTTCCTAATTTGGCTTTGTATGTTTGTTTGCTGACCATGGTGAGCTTTTAGCACCAAGAGCACAAGTTCTTTAAACGTGTTGCGTTCATCGAAGCGATCCCCGCCGGGCGTGGCTGGCTCGAGAGAAAAGGCCGTGTACGATTTTAGCAGAGAGACCTTGGAATAAATCTCAGGACGGCAGAGGCGGGAAGGGACCTTCTGGCTGAGCCAGTGCGGCCTCTGTCCAGGAGACACCCCGTGGGGGAGTCAAACTCCCAAAATCGGTCCCCTCCCCCAGCCGGAGACCTCGACCCTTGAGCTCTCCAGCCATTACGTCTCTCTTTTCTCTTTTTTCTTTTAGCACCGTATTTTTTTTCATCCTTTCTTAGTATCGGTAGTGGGCACCTGGATTAACTTCTGTGGAAGTCTGGGCTCTGAAGACAGGCCGGCAGGGAGCGCCTCGTGAGAATGGCGGGTGGGCCCTTTTGGCCACCTGGGAGAGGCGAGCAAGGCGGGAAGGAACGGTGGGTCAGCCTCTTCACCCCCAGCCGGCCCTGTGGGTCAGGCACGCGCGGGGGGGGGTTGTGACACCTGCCCGCCAAGATGCCAGCTGCCCCTCTGCCTGAGTCGTCTGGCGGGCCGGGGCCAAAGCACTTCCTCAAGCCCTCCACCGCTCGTCCGGGGAGTCCAAGACAGCCTCGTCCCCCGAACAGGCGATGGAAAATGAAGGCGCTCGGGGCCGTTTGCGGAGTGAGGCCCCGGCTCCTTGCTGAGGAACCCCGGCTGGTGGCGCCCGGGACCTTCTGCCCCTCTCGCCCTCCGCCTCCCACCGAGTCCCCGGAGAGGACCTGGACAGCTGGGAAGGGGAGCAGCCCTCAAGACTCGGGGGGTGGTGGTTATTGAAAAGATACGGGAAATAGCCGAAATGGACATTTTATCAGAAGTCATGAAGGACTATCCCCTGCAAAAGGCAACAGAAAGATGGGATCTATTTAACAAGTGGACAGAATCAACAGGCAGTTTGTGAACAGTACATATTGAAAGGAGAACTGAATCTAGAAGGCAGAAAAGAGTAAACAGAATAATTTAAAATCTTGATATGGCAATAGGTACAGAATGGATGAAAGTATGTTATTGTCTCCCCTCTTCCTCATCAATCCCAATTCCCTTTTCCTTTCTGTTATCCCTTATAAAAAATAAAAAGTACAAAAAAAAAAAGACTCAGGGGGTGGGGGTGGGGTGGGGGTGGCGGCCACGTTTTCGTGGGAAACGTTTCAAGGCTTCCCTCCGGGCGCGATGGAGCCATGCTTTCCCTCCTAGGGCATAATTCTGTGCCTTGCAATCTGAGATACTGTATATGGTCTCTCATGACCAGGTTTCCGTCACTTACTAAATTTCAACCACATTGGATTTAATTAAATTTCCTGTGGATCTTTCTGGGGGTGGGGAGAGAAGCCGTCTTTCTGAGAGAGCTCTGGGGTTTAGGCCTCTGTCTGTGGAGCATGAGGTTGGGAGTTCGATTCCCCCTCGGTGCCTCCCTAAGAGGGGCTGGACTCGATGGTCCAGAGAGTCCCTTCCAGGTCTGCGGTTCCCAGAGGGTGATGATGATGATGATGTGGTCTGCAGGCCAGGAAGGCTTCTGCCCAGCCAAAGTTGCTGATCTTCCAGATACCAGGGGAGGATGCGGGGGTGGTGGTGGAGGGAGAGGGGCTAGAACGGGTTAGAAGGTGACCAGGAAGGAAACGCAACTAAAATAAAATCCATATGTTGCGAGAAAATGGAATGGAAGGTGTGTGCTTCAATGTGAGTGTTCAGGTCAATTAAAAAGAGGGGGGAGCGCTCGGGTTCCTCCAGAAGTTGTGGTGGCTGTGGGGAGTCAGGCCAGAGGGGGCTGGCGGGAGATCAGGTGGTGTCATCACCCCCCCCTTCCTGGCCTATCTGGTGATCCTTGATGCAGGTTGCTTTGTCCGGCCACAGTGGTCACTCCGACAGGGCTACGGGAAAAGGGCTCCGTGGCCCAAGTATTATGAGCCTTGTGGTGCAGAGGTTAAAACTGCAGTCCTGCAGCCCAAACTCTGCTCACGACATGGGGTTCAATCCTAGGTCGACAGCTCGAGGTTCATTCAGCCTTCCATCCTTCAGAGGTCGGTCCGTTGAGATACCCAGCTCCCTGGGGAGGGGGGCAGTGGGTAGCCTGTGTAATTAAAAACTGCAAGCCACCTAGAGAGTGCTATTAAGTGCTGTGATAAGCAGCGCAGTTTCTCTCTCTCTGTCTCCATCCAGGTCCTCACACCGTGAGCGGCAGCTGAAATTCACCCAGGATGGCTGGAGCCTCCGTCAAAGTGGCCGTCCGGGTGCGCCCTTTCAACGCCCGCGAAATCAGCCGAGATGCCAAATGCGTGATTCAGATGCAGGGGAAAACCACATGTAAGTGGCCTTGGGTCCGGGGTCAGGGGACTTGTCTGTGTCTCCATCGCTCCCTCTGTCTTTAAACCAGACCCCGTCTCCTTCGGGTCCCGAGAGAGATGGCCGGCCAGTGACTTGGGGGAATGTGGGGTGAGGGAGGCGGCTGTTGTGAAAGTCAGGGGTGTGTGTCTCCATTCAGGGTTGGGGTGGCGGTCAAGAGGACATCTCTCAGAGCTGGTGGAGAACTCATGGCTGTTCACATTCCCCCTGGAACAATGTCGGGGCATGGGGTGGTCTTGCTGCAGAGACCCTCCACCCACCTCCCCATCCAGGATGTCCCCATCTTTCCTGAGGAGTGACTAACGGATCCATATTTGGAGTAAGCTTGCGGGTGGCTTGACCCCAGCAGCTGGAAGACCTTTTCCCAGCCTGCTCCCTCCGTAGGCGTCGTACGGCAGCTTCCACCAAAGGCTCTGTGGATGGAGACTTTTTCCTTAGGAACCTGTCAGGAGGTGTGCATTTTTCAGATGTGTGGTGTCAGGAAAGTGCTTTATTTAAACGCCAGCAGAGGAACCAAGACATGGGTAACCAGCGATGCCAGTCTAGAAATCTGAAGCCTGGATGCATAGGGGAGATTTTATAAGAGGGTTACATAAAGCAGTAAGGGACATGGTGGCGCTGTGGGCTAAACCGCAGAAGCCTGTGCTGCAGGGTCAGAAGCCCAAGCAGTCGTAAGATCGAATCCACGTGATGGAGTGAGCTCCCGTCGCTTGTCCCACCTCCCGCCAACCTAGCGGTTCGAAAGCATGCAAATGCGAGTAGATAAATAGGGACCACCTCGGTGGGAAGGTAACAGCGTTCTGTGTCTAAGTCGCACTGGCCATGTGACCACGGAAGATTGTCTTTGGACAAAAACGCTGGCTCTATGGCTTGGAAACGGGGATGAGCACCGCTCCCTAGAGTCGAACACGACTGGACAAAAATTGTCAAGGGGAACTTTTACCTTTACCTTTTTACATAAAGCAGCATAATTAAGTCATTAAAATGCATCTTCCTTTCAAGTTCTCTTCCTTTGAAGCGCCTTGTTACATGCAGGATGTTTCCCAAATGGGCTAACGGTTCCCTTCTGCGTCTGGCTAGTCCAGAATGAAAACGAGGGAGACGGTTGGTCTCTACGTCCTTTAGCCTGTTGTGTTCTGAGGTTAGGATGCCTGTTTGAGTCATACCCTAAGGATTCTTGTGTGCCTGCCTCTTCTCCGCACTCGGTAAAGAATGCTTGTTTCCCACATTCTATTTAGCCAGCTCTACCAAAAGTACGTTGGTTATTCCTTGTATGATTGCTCAAGTCTAACACATCGGGTTATATCTCAAAGTTACCGTGAGTTGGAATCTCCTCCCCTGTAGAGCGAGGCATCCATCCTGCCACCCAGGGAGGGTATGGATTTTAGTCCAGCATACGGTACCAGGTTTAGAAACTGCTCTTTCCTTTCCATAAAACAGGAGTTATCTAGAATTCAGAAGGCAAGTATGCGACTGGGGGGGGTGTCGGGGGGGGGAGAGGAACTGGATCTTCCCACTGTTGGCTTTCTCTTCTGTTTCTTTCTGTTCTTGGCTGGGGGGCCCTGATCGTAGACCCCGGAGAGAAGGGAGTTTGGGGAACAGGCCCCATCAGTCCCCCGGTGGCTCCTACAACCTCTTCTCTTGCTGTGAATCGGTCCCTTTCTTTTTATGGCTCACTTGGTAGGAATGTGGAAGGGCTCACGTTCTAAGAAGTCACGCCGCACAGTCTGTCAAGCTGTCTGTGGCTTCCTGAAGAGCCAGTGGCCCCTCGTTGTGGCCGATGCCCTCTTGAATCGAATAGCCTCCCAATGAAGTGCTCTGATGGAGTCACATTTGTTCAGTCGTTTAGTCGTGTCCGACTCTTCGTGACCCCATGGACCAGAGCACGCCAGGCCCTCCTGTCTTCTACTGCCTCCCGGAGTTGTGTCAGGTTCATGTTGGTTGCTTCGCAGACACTGTCCAGCCATCTCATCCTCGGTCGTCCCCTTCTCCTCTTGCCATCACACCTTCCTAACATCAAGGTTTTTTCCAAGGAGTCTTTTCTTCTCATGAGATGGCCAAAGTACTGGCGCCTCAGCTTCAGGATCTGTCCTTCCAGTGAGCACTCAGGGTTGATTTCCTTTAGAATTGATAGGTTTGTTCTCTTTGCAGTCCAGGGGACTCTCAAGAGCCTCCTCCAGCACCACAATGGAGGATACCAGTGCATCAAATCACATGGCATCAAATAAATCCGTTCACGGTGTGTGCGTGCATGTGTGAGCTTTTAAGAACCGAAGGTCTCACTTGGTTAGCCCCAAACGCGTGGCCTCTTCTGGGGTGATGGAGTCCGTCCCCCCCCCTAGAGGTTGGGAGTTTTGTTTCCTCTCCAGCTGCCTTCCTCCTCCTCCTCCTCCTCCTCCTCCTCGTGGTTCGTAGCTCAGCCCTGAACAGAGGACGGCCTGGAAAACTAGGAAAGCGAAAGAAAATAAACTGAGGGGTGTTCATTTTGGAAATGAAAAGCCCTTCTGTGTTTGAAGATTTCCGCGCTATAATCTGATTTAATCTTCAGCCGCTTTGCAAAATTCATTCTGAAGGTTCTTTGATAGAGTTCTTTGAGGGGAAGTTGACTTGGGAGTCATCGTCAAAAACGCTGTAGGGGAAGCGGGGTGGGAGCAGGAGCCGAGAGAAACTTGTGGCTGGCTGAGCAAGTTGACAGCTTATGAAAACAGGCTGGGCAAACATCTTTTGGGGCTCATTTAAGTTGAATTAATCCTGTCGCCTGGTGACGGGGACGAGGTTTAGGAACTCCACAGACCCTCCGCATTCCAGCTGCCGTGTTGTACAAATAGTTTAATTAAACACATGCTGTCACGTTGATTTCGACTTAACAGCCACCCTTTTTCAGGGTGTTCCAAATATAGTGTGTTCAGACCTAGTTTACCATTTCCCCCTTCTGGAGCCGGGGTCTAGCCCTGGGACCCCTGGGCAGCTTTGGCCCCCGAGGCCACCCAGGCTGGCTCTCCTTTTGGGGGAGGCCCAGTGGGGGGAATCAAACGCCCAACCTCTCCATCTGCAGCCAGAGACCTAACTCACTGAGAGAGCTAGCTAGCTAGCCGTTGTACAAGCACCCTTCCAAAAAATCTGTTACCTTTCAAGCCAGAGCTCACAAGATGGAAGTTCTTGGCAGGTTGTTTCAATTCCTACAAATGCAATCCTCTTATAAGTACGGTATATGACTATGTAAAGCTTCCACTTGCCCCTCTTTTCTGCCAGGGGCCAGAGGGGCGCTCTGCTCCCCAAGCAGACTCTCCTGCTGCTGCTGCCCCGACTGGACCTCCCTGGCTGGACGTTGCGTGCCGAGCGGCTCTGGACCCGACCTGACCAGTCCCCCTTGCCTCATCGCATCCCATCTTGTTCAACTGCTTGTCCCTGCCTATATTTAGCCCTGGAACAGCTGAGAGGCCTTCGCAGGGGTGCGGCGGAGGGGAGGGCAGCTGCGGTGGGGGGGGGTGTCAGGAAGCTATTTTCTGGTGTCCTCCCATCCTCTGTATGTCAGGCTGTATCCACCCATCCTACCCTGTGAGGAGAGGAATGGCAAAGCTGCAGGTATTTGAGTTATGCAGGGAATGTTTTTCCGAGAGCCTAATCGGTTGCATAATCGTGGGCCGTCCCCCCCCCGCACTGCCCTGCGGGTTTCCTCGAAAGCTTGCTTGGGTCGGTGCTCCGACACTTTCAGCCTCCGGTGTCCTTGAGGCCGGGCAGCTTTGTGCACCGGAAGCGTTGCTTCCCCTCCCTTTGTGGTTTGGATCGGGCTCCCAAAGGCAGCACACCGCCTGCCCAGACGTCTCTGGGAGCGGCCCCTCGGGCAAGGCGAAGCTCTCCGCCCGGGGAGCGAGCCTGGAGGGAGACGGCAAAGCCCCGCCGCTCGCTCGCTCGCTCGGCCACGGCCTCTGTCAGCCAAGCAGGAGAGCCTCCTGGGGCCCCTGAAAGGCCCGCTGGCCTCACCTTCCCGGGCTGAAGGCAGCGGAACGGGGCCACCGTCCACGGAGATTTAGACTTTGTGGAACTCAAGGTGCCACGAGGCTCTTCCCTGTTTCTACTCCAGCAATGGGGGTGGGAGGAGAGAGAAAACACTGTTCTAGGTTAGGGAGTCCATTTACTGAATTGCTGCAAAGCTCTGAACAAAGCGAGCCCTTGAGCTCTGGATAATTCGACATTAAGCAAAAACAGTGAAATATTGGGGGTCAGAGGAAGAGCAGAACAGCCAAGGCTTGTGGCCCCTACGCCTCTTTTGAATCCTGAGCCCCGGCGGTATATAAGTCCAATAAATAAATAAATAAATAAATAAATCAAAAACAGTGAAATATTGGGTCTCAGAGAAAGAGCAGAACAGCCAAGGCTTGTGGCCCGTGCGGCTCTTTTGAATCCGGAGCCCCGGCCAACAAGATGGTGGACTTTCGCCCCCAGAGCCCCAGGCTGGCCGAGGGCACGGAAATGTCGAGCAAGAGAGCGGTCTTTCGGTCAGCCGAAGGAAAGAAGAGGAGGAGGAGGAGGAAGGCTGCACGGGTCCCTTGGGCAATAAGCCTTGCCAGCCGCTTGGTCTGTTTCAGGAGCCGTGCCCTCAGCTGGAGGGGCAGCGGGGGGGGGCACCCGTGAGCACCAAGCCGTTTGGGGTTTTAGCAATCAGAAGCAGCACCTCAGAGTGTACATGGAAGAGTGCCCACGCACCTCACGGCAACCACGGAGGGGTCTGTGCGGCGCTTTCCCTCCCTCCTGGCTCGTTCTTAGACCCTCGTTTGGCTCCGAAACAGCCCTTCTGGTCTGGCCCCCGGAGCGGCTCAGGCCTCGGAGTGAGGGTCACATCCATCCATGGACCACCCCAACGGTGGTGGCCGCCTTGCCTCCAGGAACCTTGGCTTGTATCGGCTGCACAGGCTGCAGGTGGCAAGGGATGGAAAAGCCGTGGGGAGCCGTTCCTGCCCCCTTTCCCACCCCCCCCACCCAATTTTTCCCACCAGGCTCTCAGCCTCTTGCCTTTTGTCTCTCGTCCTTCAAGCTTCCGCCGCATCCGGATGGGCGGCATGTGCTTTGCCTTCAGTCCCCCCCCCCACCGCCACCACCATCACTTTTGGCCCCGAGCCCAGCCCTCCATGAATGGGTCCTGCTGAAAAGCCAGCCTTCCTCCCGGGATGGTGGGGGTGGGGGGAGACCCATGACTCAAAGCATTTTGCGTGCTCCATGTGGAGGAGGGGGCCGCAGCCTGTCATAGTGCGGTGGTACACATTTCTTGCATCTTTATCCTGGCCTTCCTCCAGAGAACCGTGAGAAGGCCCTGCCTCCCCCCCCCATTTTAACCTTCACAACAGCCCCAAGAGGTAGGAGCGAGAAAGAATAGGGGAAGTTGCTTAAAGGAAGCCAGACAAGGCGGTCAAGACATCTTCCAGCAGCTCAACAGCCGCCAATGAAGAATTGCCCAGCTGTTCTTCCTCCGGATTCTATGCTCAATCCGAATGGGGGCTGCAGTCAGGAATCTCAAGGAGGCAGTGACTCAGAAGGGCCGCTGCGAAGGAGGGAGGAAAGGTCCGTGGGACGTGAGGCCAGGATCTTCTGGGCAAAGCCATTCTCCGTTGCTCTCTGCAAACCTGTGACAGGAAGAGAGCAAAGAAACCTGATGGGCAAAGACCCCGTTTGAAATGGGGTGTTGGAGGGGAGCTTTAAAGAAGCGCCGGACGGCCAGGAAAACACATAAGCGAAGCCTGAACTCTTTCACGTCACAGGAAGACGAGACGCTCTGGAAAAGACCATTCAGCTGGAACAAGTCGAAGGGAGGTGGAAAAGAGGGAGACCCGGCGTGTGGGGTGGGTGGACTTCATGGAGGAATCCCACAACCTTTCACCTGCAAGAGCTGAGTGGGGGCCGAGAAGGACAGGACACCCTTGGGAGGTCCCTCCTTCCTGCCGATGGTGAGGACAACCACGACGAGGACGACGAGAGGCATGCAGGTGAAACCTGCAAATCCTCCAGCGACCTGTTCCGTGGGTCACCTCCGTCCTGACACACGCACCGCTCAAGGGCAGGTTGCACGGTCAAAAAGAATGGGACTCCTCTTTGTATCTCCCCGTTTCTTCCCCACGTCTGAATTTTGTACCTCTGGAGAGTCCTGCAGAACTTGGAAGGCTCGCTCGTTCTTATGGCATCTTGATTTTGGTCGACTGCGGCTTTATGTTTTTACTCGGGCAGGTGCCATCTCTTCTTTGTGTATTTATTTTTTCAAAAAATCTAGAGCAGACCCCCTGGGAAGCCCCCCCTTCCCCAAATGGCCAGGTAGCCCCCGTTTCTGTGCATTGGTTACTCGGGGTTGGAGCCGGGCTTCTCACCGGCTTCCTTTGCATCCCTTCAAGAGGGCAACGGAGGCGTGTCCTGAGAGGTGAAGGAAAGGGTTTGCCCTGCCCGATTCTGCACCCCCACTGATCGCGCTGGCAGAAGGCTGGCATGAGGAACTCAACAAGGTCGCCGCCAGCCCTTTGTGCCCGTAGCGTTTGGGAGGCCTGGACGTCAGCCACAGGACCTCTTGGAAAGGGGGGGGGCGGGGTTGCCTTGAGGTTCAGATCAAAGGGAGAATGCCCCCCCCTTCTGAACAAATGGGTGTGGGGGAGGATGGGGACGCCTCCGACGTCCCTCCTTGTTCTGCTGTCGCTCGTTTCCTTTGTGGCCACTTGCGAAGGCCGGTACTTGTCGTTTAACATGGCAAACCACGTATTGCGTGGCCAGCGGGTCTGTTTTCCTGTTATGTCCACGTCCCAGCATGGGCGGATCGCTGGCGTATTATACCTGAGAGGAGCCGGCCCGGAGGGCTTCCGGAGGCCGTCTTCTGTCCGCTGAGCTGGCCGTGGGCTTTCTCCTCTGCAGGCATCGTCAACCCCAAGCAGGCCAAAGACGCCCCCAAGAACTTCACCTTTGACTATTCCTACTGGT